GGTGGTGGAGGAGATGGGGGAACTGGCGGGATGGGGGGAAGCTTACCTGCTGCTGCTGCTTCTCCGTGTGCTCTGCGTGGAGCTCCCCCGCCCTCCCCCTGTGAGTTTTGCGGGTCCCCTTTCTTGTGTATACTAATATGCAACAAATGCATATGCAAATGACTGTTTCCACATAATAAGACACTACGAATCCCATGCTTCAATGCCACTTTAAGCAACTATATTTGTGTAATATTCTCTTCAGCCTACATGTAAATAGCACCATGTCTCACAGTAAAGTGGCTGGCAATATTAAAAATTGCAAAAATAGCCACCCACACATAAGGGCCTCTATATAACCCAAGTATGCAGAAAAAAAATATTATTTGATGCATCCAAACAAAAAAATGACTTTTCTCCAGGCCCATTGGTGACTCTTCCTCCTCTAAAACACAGCTCAGTACTGACAGCATAAAAGGGGGGGATGGGGGGGAGTTGGTTTTCTCAAGCCCTGAAATGTGTAGAATCCTAGAAGATTTTGAAGCTGGATCCACAGGGCTCTAGTCGGGGGGGAGCTCTCAGGTACGGAGCTCCGGAAGAGAACCTCTAGGGGGCGGGGCGGTCACGTGGTGAAGCCCCGCCCCCTTCTTTACCCCGCCCTCTGCTTCGATCCTCATTCCGTTTGGGAATGAGGATGAAGCAGGAGGGTAAGTAGCCGGGCCTTCTGACACACTTCCGGTGATGTCAGGGGGTGTGGCCTTCTGTCACTTCCGGTGATGTCAGGGGGCGTGGCATATGCAAATAAGTTATGCTAATGAGTTATGCTAATGAGCTCCGGCAGCTCTTTTTCTACAACAAGACCCCTGTGGATCCATATTATTTCCTTCTCCCACAATTCCTTGCATGCCCCCAGTACTAGCAAACTTCCTGTAGTGATAACAGAACACCTAATCGGCCTTGGCAAAAAGTACATCAGAATGCTCAGTAAGAGACCAAATATTTCTAAACTGGAAGTTAGTATAAATAATATTTGGGCAGAGATTAGTCTCACCCCTGATGAAAGCATATGGCAACAAGGATTTCTGCTTGAGGCCATCACCCCTGGCTACAAACCCTTGCCATTGCGCTGCTGCTTCCAAAACCTGGATCAGATAATTCCCCTTCCCTCTTCGATCCCAATGGCTCTTATAAGCACAGCACAGCAAGTCATATAAAGTCCTATTGAGAATCTGCTAGTTGCTATACTGTGGCTGCTTCCACATGGCTCTCAACCCTGGCTCACATAGTTCAATCCTGGCTCTCATACCATGGTTTTATTTTGTTTTATTTTTTTTGGAACATCCACATGATATTTTTCTCCAGTTGTTCTTCTGTAGTTTGCCTAATGTTTCCCAAATCTGTTTTGCTCAAATTTTTCTGGGATTCAAAGAGGGTTTTCTCATAGCATGGAGCATCGCTTTTCCAAAACTCCTCAGCCACATCTGGTTCCATTTTCCCTTCCTTGGGAGGAAAAGGAATGGTAGGTACAATGGATACCATGGAGAATACCCCCCATGTGGTAGCTGTCCCTCTGCCGTCACAGTCTCCAACCTTACCTTGCATTCAATAGAACATATTTCTGAAGAAAACATGCACAGAACAAGTAGGGCTGCATATAATCCCCTACTTTGGAGGCCCGATTTCTGCCACCGCAGAATCGGGCCCCGGGGAGAACCCCACCCCGGCATGCACGTTAGCCTGATGTTTTCCCCTCAAATGGCTGTGGCCCCGCCCACAGCGTGCCCGGCGTCATCACGTCACATCCGGCTGACAGGCATGCGGCGCACGCACGCTTCGCACGTGTGTGCTCAGGATGCCGTCCGGGAGCCCCCTGCCGCGAGGAGAAACGGACTTGGCAACCCTAGCTGCATAGCATATTTTAATAGTTTTGCAGCCAAAATAATTATTACTAGTTGTGAAGCTGAATAAAGGGTTTATGTTGTGTATTGAGCCAGAGTCATCCCTGAACTAATCCCTGGATTGGGTTGAGCTTGTTTCCCCCAGACAATAGCTTACTAGGATCCTGGAGTAGACCAATAGAGAAACAGTGTTATGTAAATAGCCTATAGTTGAGAGCAGTGTTCCCTCTAAGCTGAGTTATTGTGAGCTAGCTCACCATTTTTAAGCCTCTGGCTCACACATTTTTGTCTTAGCTCAGGAAGGAGGGCTCCAGAGCAAACTAATTTATGCAGTAACCCAATCGCTTGCTCACAACTTTAATGCCAGTTGCTCACAAAGTAGAATTTTTGCTCACAAGACTCCACAGCTTAGAGGGAGCATTGGTTGGGAGTGGGGTGTGTTTGGGGTGTGATGATTGCATGCTTTAAAACAGGGCAGCTGCCTTGGAGTTTGTCCTTGTAGTGTTCCTAAAATCACTTAATAAAGTAGAGCTGCTCACTGCAATGCATCCAGAACTCAGCATTTAACAGTTTATATCACCAGAGAGTTGGTAAAAAGTTAATGTAAGTGTTATCACCACTACTTCCTGAAACTTCAGTATGAGGGGAAGACTGAAATGTGTGATTTATCATCTTTCTACTCCTATGCATGCTTACTCAGGAAGTACCCCAATCAGTTCAGTGAGCACATAGTATTGCAACCTCTAGGTCAGAATCTAACCTTCATTAGCTCCACCTTGTCTGAATTAAGTCACTAGGTCACTATATGCCAATATTTGCATGGCTAACCTGAAGCAGTAATTTCTCAGCTCCTATCCATAAACACCCCTCTTGTATCTGAAATTTATTGATGATATTTTCATCATTTGGACACACGGGAAAGAAGCACAGGAGAAATTTCACCAGGCCTTCAGCGACTTCCACCCCACCAACAACCTGACCATGAACCAATCCACACAAGAAGTGTGTTTTCTAGACACTACTGTACAAATACATCATGGAAGCTTAAAACCACCATATAACAGAACACTACTGATCCTCAAACATATCTATATGCCTCCAGTCATCATCATAAACACACCAAGCAATCCATTGTCTACAGCCAAGCTCTATGCTACAGCTGCATCTGTTCCAATCCCTCAGACACAGATTCTCACCTGTAGGATCTACAAAAGACATTTTTGGAATTTCTGTACCTATCTGATGTAATAAGGCAACAAATCAACAAAGCCAGAATGATACCAAGGGATAACCTGCTATAAAATAAGTCCAAACAAAACATCAACCAAACACCAGTTGTGGTCACAAAGAGCTTTTAGCTCAAACCAGTTCAATGCATCATTATACTCCTCCTCTCTCACAGGTGTTGGGAGGCAAATCTTTTCTTGCCTCCAAACCTTGAACAACTTCTCACCCACAGCAATGCCCTTTCTAACATGGATACAGATTCTAGGAGCAGGGCCATAAATCCAACGTTAAAAAACACAGAAACATTCAAAAACCAGTGGGAGAACATTTTAATCTTCCAGGTGATTTCATTGCTGGCCTAAAAGTGGCAGTCCTCAAGAAAAGACGTTCACAAGTTCAGAACAATGCTGAATAGGGACATGGGATTCTTATCTCCTGACAGAAGCTAATTTTCTGCCCCCAAGCATTTTCCCTCTGCTCTTATCAGGCTGATGACACTGCTCATTTGTACCTCTGCATCATGAGCTTTGACTCTTGAAAGCTTATGCCCTGAAAATTTTGTTGGTCTCTAAGGTCTCAAAGATTCTTTGGGACTTTTGATTACAAACAGATAAAACACCTGGAGCATAACATCCTTGATATCATAATTGTAGGGGGGTGGGGGGAGAAGAGAAACAGGGTTTGGGTCCTTGACACTGTAACCCCAGTAGACAGCAGAACAGAAAAGAAGGAACAGGGTCTCTGGGAGAAGAAGGTGACTATCATGCCAGTTGTCACTGGAGCCCTTGGAGCGGTGCCTAGAAGTATCAAGAAACACCTGAACATTGGAACACCAGTTCAGCTCCAGAACAGTGTTGCTTGGAACAGCAAGAATCCTGTGAAGATACATCTGCAATCCCTACGAACTTGGCTAGATCTCGAATTGCGGAACCCCATCTACTAGTCAAATATCTGACTATGACCATTCATAAATAATAATAATAATCTAGAATTTCAGGTGGATGATGTACAGATTCATTACCTTACTAAAATTTGGGTTGCTAACTTCAGGGTGAGAAGATCCTGGACATTTGTGGGTGGAGTTTGGGGAGAACATGGAGCTCAACAAGCATGTAATGCCCTAGCCCACCTCCAAAACTGCCATTTTCTCCAGGGGAGCTGATCTCGGTAGTCTGTAGATCAGTTGTAATTAGGGTAGCCAGGTCCACTCTGGCCACCGGCAGGAGATGGGGGGTAGGGTTGCCAGACAGAGGCTTGGAAATTCCTGAAGAGTTGGGGATGGAGCCTGGGGAGGACTGGGAACTTAATGCGGTTCAATGCCACCGAGTCCACCCTGCAAAGCATCCTTTTTCTCCACGGGGACAGTTCTGTGTAGTCTGGAGATAAACTGTAATTCCAGGAGATCCCCAGGCCCCACCTGGAGGCTGGCATCCCTATAAACTCCAGTTCCCACCTGTAATTTGGCAGCCCTAGTTACTGTACGGTAACAGTCACGCATGTTTTCCTTTATTTGTACTCCCTCCATAACGTTCGTTCTCCAAAAATAAACAAGTTCCTGCCCAGATACTGCAGAACATTTTAAAATGCGTTCCTTTTTGTCGCCTTTGTTTTTCCGGAGAGTCAACATTAGGTGTCCTGAGGCAAGTGAAAATCAGCTTGGGCGTCAAGGCGGGGCAGTTTGAAATACCAAGCTAAAAGACGTCGTAGGCATGGCTTAGGAAAAGAGCGGGAGGCGGGGGGGGGGAGAGAGAGGTTGTGATTGACGGCTAGAAAGCGAAGCCGAGAGGGAATAGGCGGGGCTCAGAGCTGGCGGGAGCCCTCGATTGGCGCTGAGGAGTGGCTGGGTCTGAGCCTGGGAGGGCCCGCCGCCGGAGCCTGGGCGCTGGTGTTGTGCTGACGGCCGTGGCCAGGGAATTTCGAATGAGGGAGACGGCAGTGCGGAGGAAAGAGGAGACGGGGAGGGGAGAGGAAGGGGGAGAAGACCATAACGACGACTACGAGGGAAAGTCTCCAGTGAGGTAATCAGCCCTGCCGGGCAAAGTTGGTGGGACTCCTCTTTTGGCGGGCTTCGCTGTCGGAGGGGGGGTGGGGTGCGCTTATGTCGCGGCTTGGAGCGGAGTCCCCCCCCCACGCTGTAAGGAGTAGTGACAGGGACACGTAACCAGTTGGCGCTTGTGAGGAACCTCGGAGTGTGAGTGTGAGGAAGGGGGGGGGGGGGGACGACGACGACTCGGAGTGCCAGCCAGGCTTCATCAGTGGCGATATTGAGGCGCATCTGGATCCCCTCCCCTCTACACGTCCGAGGCGGGTGCAGGGGGGGCTCGGGTGGCTTGCTGACCGTCGCCGCCCTTAGACCGGAACGCCGGCTCCTGTTTGTTTCTCGTTCCCGGTGGAAGGGGGGGGGGCGTTGCTCTCAAACTCCCAGGAGCCGGAGGGGGGAGGAGGAGGAGGAGAGATTCCTCCCTTAGCCCTCTCTCCCCCCCCCCTTCCTGCTCGGTCGCCTCCTCTGGGCCTGACTTGTGATGTGTGGTTGGAGCTGGTTTCGCCGCCGCCTCTCTGAGAGGAGGGGGGGGTGTCGATCCCCCGCGTGCAGCCTGTAGGGGAAGAAGCGGCGGTGGCAGCAGTTCACCGAGCAAGATGCGTGTCCGCTGGGCTGCTGCCGCTGCTGACCTCGGGAAATCCGCTTCCTTCCCTAATACTAGGGGAAGATCCCATGGAGAGTGTGTGAGGGAGACAGATGATGCAACACGGGGTCCTGCTCCTGCCAAGCTGTTGCTCTGCTAGTGTTTCATCCAGGGAGAGTTGACATTTTGCTCTCTGTGTTAGCAAGCCTCTTTCCTTCTCGTTGAGAGGCTTTAACCCTGGCCAGTTGTCTCTGTGGCTGAGATGTCTTCGCATGGCTCAGGAATCAGATCCCTGATTGTTGTTGTTTAAATTTCCCTCGTTTTCTCGCATGCACACACGGAATTAGTGCGGGTTGGTTGCAAGCATGAGCTGCAGTCTTTAAATGGTTAGATTCGAGTCCAGTAGCACCTTAGAGATCAACAAGATTTTCGGGGGATCAGCTCGTGATTCAAAGCCTATCCCCCCCCCCCCCCAATCTTGCTGGTCTCTGAGGTACTACTGGACTGGAATCTAGCCGTTCCACTGCACACAAGCACGGCTCCCCTCTGAAACTGGTCTCTAAATGGTTGGCCTATGATGCTTCCTGGCCTGCCTCCTAATTATGGGAGCGGCCTGAAGCTGTCAGGGAGCAGGAGTGGAGTCCTTCGATGTTCAGTATGTGTAGCTTCCCTCGTATTTAAAGGTGATGGTTGTGGCCATTGACAAAAGTTGTTAATGCAAGAAGCATACAGTCTCCAGTTTATCCTAGAGGGTGTCCTAAGCCACCTTTGTCATACATTTAAAAAGTAAAGGAAAACATTCTTGTCACTCGCCTTGCCTGGGAGTGGTGGCTGAATGCTGCTACTAGAGACTACAGACAGTTATTTAAGAACAGCTCACAACAGCTTGTATCTGTTGTTTATTTGGAGGGAATAATTTAACTGCTCCAGAAAGGGTATCATTTGAAGTCTCTAGCCCCTGCTGTAGGTGTGTAAAGTGAGGTTGGGGGTGGTCCTATCCTGGCTGTATAGTGTAATCTGCTTTGGGGATCAGTGTCCCTCTTAGGATAGGAAGTAGTGAATATGATTGGCATAATCTCTTCCACCCGTGCCCTTTACAAATCCTATAATCACAATGTAATGAATGTCTGTATGCTCTTGATGTGTTTTGTTGGTGGGGGTGCTTTAGGAATGGAGACTTCATAGCATAGAGTTTGTGAATAAAGAACCAGTTTTTGAGCCAAGAGCTGTGCGTATGTTTCGCTCATCATGTAGTTGGCTGGTGAGCTGCATGTTGTGTGTCAAAAGTGAGAGAGGCTTTATTCACAGATGGATCATGAAGGTGAGGAGAAGCTCTGGAGAGGTTGGTTGCAAGATGGGTGGAGTCCTTCGATATTTCTGCTATTGAGGCAAGTATCCTTTGGAAATGGGTGAGGAGCTGTGAGAGAAGATCATGTATGGCAGTGGTTCTTACAAAGATTTAGTGAAGAAGTAGGTTTTTCCCCGGGGGGGCATAGCTGTTCTTTCTGAAGAGATGAGGACGGGTCTTTGAGAACCATGGCTGGAACCAGTTTTTCCTCCCCTTTCCCTGTATTTATCCCAAAATCAACTCTTGCTTAATGTTCAACAATTTACAGTCGTGTTGGTTCAGGATGTCAGAAGATTAGAGGTACCTCTCTCTTCGATATAAATGGAATGTGCAATTACATTCTAATCCTGAATATTTGTTGCAAATAACCACAGACAGCCCCACTGTACTAAGTTTAAAGTTTAATTTAGAACTAAATTTACAAGAGATCCAAGGTTGGAGAGGGAATTAGCTATAATCCTAGCTGCCCAGTGTTGTCATTGTTGGCCCATATAATCTCCCAGTGTTGATTATTAGATGACGTGTGTTTCTTTGTTGTTGTTCAGTCGCACAGTCGAGTCTGACTCTTCGTGACCCCATGGACCATATCACGTCAGGCCTTCCTGTCTTCCGCCGTCCTCTGAAATTTGCTCAATTTCATGTTCGTTGCATCTATGACACTGTCTAACCATCTCATCCTTTGCCATCCCCGTCTTCTTTGACCTTTAATCTTTCCCAGCATCAGGGTCTTCTCCAGTGAGTGCTCCCTTCTCATTTGGTGGCCAAAGTATTTGAGCTTCAGTTTCATTATCTGGCCTACCAGGGAACAGTCAGGGTTGATTTCTTTTAGGATTGACTGATTTGATCTTCTTGCAGTCCAAGGGACTCTCAAGAGTCTTCTCCAGCACCATAGTTCAAAAGAATCTATTCTTCGGCGCTCGGCCTTCCTTATAGTCCAACTCTCGCAGCCTACATGACTACTGGGAATACCATTGCTTTGACCATGCGGACTTTTGTTGCCAGGGTGATGTCTCTACTTTTTATCATGCTGTTTAGGTTCGCCATCGCTTTCCTCCCAAGGAGCAGGCGTCTTTTAATTTCATGGCTGCAGTCACAGTCTGCGGTGATTTGGGATCCCAGGAACGTGAAGTCTGTCACTACTTCCACGACTTCCCCTTCTATTTGCCAAGGAGTGATGGGGCCGGATGCCATGATCTTAGTTTTTTTGATGTTGAGCTTCAAGCCCACTTTTGCGCTCTCCTCTTTGACCCTGAGCAAGAGGCTCTTCAGGTCCTCTTCACTTTCTGCCATTAGAGTGGTATCGTCTGCATATCTGAGGTTGTTGATCTTTTCCCCAGCAATCTTAATTCCCGCTTGTGATTCATCCAGGCCAGCATTTCGCATGATATACTCTGCATATATATTAAATAAGCAAGGGGACATCCTTGTCGTACTCATTTTCCTATGCTAAACCAATCAGTTGTTCCATATCCGGTTCTAACTGTTGCTTCTTGGCCCTTATACAGGTTTCTCAAGAGACATGTGAGGTGGTCTGGTACTCCCACTCAGTGTTCCCTCTAAGCTGAGTTAGTGTGAGCCAGCTCACAGTTTTTTAGCCTCCAGCTCACACATTTGTTGTCTTAGCTCAGGAAGGATGGCTCCAGAGCCAACTAAGTTATGCGGCAGCCAAGTCGCTCGCTCACAACTTTAGTGCCAGTAGCTCACAAAGTAGAATTTTTGCTCACAAGACTCCACAGCTTAGAGCGAACATTGCTCCCACTCTTTAAGGGCCTGCCATAGTTTGTTATGATCCACACAGTCAAAGGCTTTAGCATAGTCAATGAAGCAGAAGTAGATGTTTTTCTGGTACTCTCTTGTGTTTCTAGATAGTGGTAGTCCCCCCCCCCCATCGTTTAATTTTTATTGACCCACTTAAAAGTTATAAGTAAAGTTTCTTTGCCTTTACTTGGCCTTCTTTATTAATATGTATTTTCAATTTGCTGTCTTGTTCTGGGCACGATGTGTGGTAGTGATGATGATGGGATATTATATTACTTTGCATGGATACTATCTCATAGGCCTGTGGCCATCATACCAAAGGTACATATGTCTGATGCAGTATGGATGACAGGTTCTAGAAGTGTGTTCAAATTACCTCTTAAAAATACTGGAGTTCCTGTTTCTTTTAAGATACCTGTATTTGCCTTCCTGGGTAAGGAGATTGAGAAGCTAGTTGAAGAAAAAGACCTAGAGGTCTTCCTGGATGTCCTATTGGCTATAGACTTCAGGTGATGCTAGGGGATGGACACAGTGCTGGTTGATGATCTCTGTTTGACTGTAGATAAGGGGTATGCCTCATTGTTGCTTTTGCACTTACAGGATTTATCTGCAGCCTTTGATATGGTGTACATACCGTTTTGTGGAGACATCATGAGGCAGAAGTAGGTATCAGGGAGATGTGCTTTCGACTGGTTTAAATGTTTCCTTATGCACTGGACTTAGAGGCTTGCTGTTGGAGACCAGCTTAAATTCTGTGGGGTTTCACAAGGCTCAGTCTTATCCCCAATACTGTTCAATCTCTGTGCAAAGCCCTTAGGATAATTCATTCATACTTTGGAGTTGGGTGTCATCAATATGCTGATGACATCCAGCTCTTTGTCAAAACCATCCAATGCTGCTGTGGAGGTCCTGAGCCGGTGCCTGGCTGCAATGATTAGGTGGCTAGGGTGAAAAAACTGAAACTGAGTCTTGACTAAACAGAAGTTGAGACTGAGGCGGGCATTGTGCTTCCCACGTATGATGAGGTTCAGCAAACTATCACTGAATCAGCAAAGAGTGTAGGACTTAACACTTGACCCAGCATTATTGTTGAAGCAAATTAATTCAGCTTAAAATGATTTCTTCATTTCGCCGGGAAGATTACTCCTTTTCTTGATCTGGCCACGTGGATTCATTCCACTGTACCCTCAAGGGTAGACTATTGTAATGCACTCTACATGGGTCTGTCCTTGAAGACAACCTGGAAGCTCCAGATGGTACAGAATGGACAGGGGAGCACAGCGCCAAG